CCTTTTAGCCAGCCCGCGTGCAGTGGCCGCCACCCCCCGCCATTTGACATTCCCCTCCACACACCTCCCCCTCGTCCTGTTTTTCCTCCTCCCTCCCCTCCACCCTTTTCCCCCCTTCCCACCGGTTTTGCCCCTCGACTACCACACCACACATGCCGCCCGGCAAGAAGCCCGCCCCGTCGTTGGACGACTGGGCCGATGACCTGCCGGAGGCCGTCCTCAAGCAGGCGGCCGCCCAGGCTGGCCCCGCGCGCGCGGTGGTCTCCTCCCTCTTCACCAATAACCCGACGCTCGCCAAGCGCTCGGACCCGCTGCCGGACGTCAGCACCCTCGAGCGTACGAACGCCGCGTTGGCCGAGGCCAACTTCGACACCATGGGCCTAGACCCGCGGGTGGTCCGCGCCCTGCGAGATCGCCTTGGTGTCCAGCGTCCGACAGCCATCCAGCACCAAGGTACACATCGCGAGCCCCATGTCCCCCCCCCCCTCCCCCCCTCCCTGTCCCCGTCCCCGTCCCCGTCCCCGCCCTGTGGCTCGTGCTCTCCCGCCTCATCCCCTGCGACTTGCCTGCTCCCCCCCCCCCTCCCCCACTTACCTTTTGTTCCTCCCCTCTTGCCAGCCATCCCGGCCATTCTCAGTGGACAGGATGTCATCATGCGCGCGCAAACCGGCTCCGGCAAGACGCTGTCCTTCCTGCTGCCGATTCTGCAGCATCTTTTGACCCTGTCGCCGCAGGTCTCCCGCGGTGATGGCGCGCTGTGCATGGTGATTGTGCCGACGCGCGAGTTGGCCGCCCAGACCCAGGCGGTGCTGGAGCGCCTAATCCAGGCCGCCGGCTGTGTGTGGATCGTGTCCGGGGCTCTGGCCGGTGGCGAGCGCCGCAAGGCCGAGAAGGCTCGCCTGCGCCGGGGGCTGAACATTGTCATCGGCACGCCGGGTCGGCTGAAGGATCACCTGGATCGGACGGCCGGCATGGACCTTTCGCAGGTTGGGTGGGTGGTGCTGGATGAGGCGGACCTGCTTCTGGATCTGGGTTTCGAGAAGGACGTCCGTGAGATCCTCAAGACCATCGACGAGGTGCGTGCTCCTCCCTTGCCTCCTTCCCTCTCGCCCTCTCGCCCTCTCGGCCTTCGGCCTTTGCCTTTTGGCCTCCCTGTGTTTTGTGTTAGGCGCCAGGACTGACACCTTGGCGGCACCATCGTACCCCTGCCGGGCCTGCTGTCCCTCTTCTCCAGCGTCGGGCTGTTCGCCGGATCGGCGTCCCGCGGGATCGGCGTCAGACTATCCTCTGCTCGGCCACCATCTCCAAGCGCCTGCAGGCCATCACGCAGTCGGCCATGGAGTCGCCGGTGTACATCTCCACCGACGAGACTCTGGTGGCCGGGGCTCAGCCGGCACCGGATGCCGAGGCCGCCAGCACCACCGCCCCGATGGTGATTGAGCCCGCCCCCGACATGGCGCCCGATGCCGGGTCGGATGTTGCCGGCGATGCCCCCAGTAAGGAGGGCGAGGATGCCAAGATGGTGGACACTGAGCTGGGTGAGCGCTTCCACGTGCCGGCGCAGCTGCTGCAAATCTACTATGAGCTGCCGACCAAGCTTCGTCTGGTGACGCTGGTGACGCTGCTGCAATCGCGTCTCGGCGTGACCGAGGATCAACTCCAGCGCCTGGACCAGACGCTCGCCGCACAGGCGGCTTCCGAGACCGCCGGTCCGGAGGGTGCCGATGCGGATTCGACCTCCAAGCCCACGGCCGCGACTCCCAAGCCGGCTGGCACGGCTCCCAAGTCGGCCGCGGCGCTGGCCGCCGAGAAGGCCCTCGGCAAGCGGCCCTCGGCCACGGACAAGCCCGCGACTGATGGCGCGCCGCCGGCTGCGGAGCCGGCCGATCCGGCCCTCGGCTTCGCGGATCCCAAGCGTGGCATTGTCTTCCTCAGCACCACCGACAGTGTGGACTTCCACTTTGCCCTGTTGACTCATGCGGCCAGTCGGCCGGTGCGCATCGACAACTCCGGTGCGGTGGTCCTCTTCGGGGAGAAGCCCGCCGATGGCGAAGCCGCTGGCGACGGGTCCGGCAGCGATTCCGACGACGACGCCGCCGCCGCCGGGGCCCAGGGGTCCAGTGCTTCCGGGCCGGCCGACCCCGACCAGGGTGCGTCTCTCTTCGATTCGGACGAGGAGGATGGCGGTGCGGCTGGAGGTGGGTCGCGCGCGGCGCGGGCCCGTCGCCAGGGCCGTGCTCGGCACATTGCAGAACTGTCGAGCTCCTTCGACCCGGTGACCGGGAAGCCTCTGCAGCGCCAGGCGGCGTTGACCCTGTCGGCGTGGGCCACGGCCCCGATCCTCGGTGGGGCACGGGTATACCGCCTGCATGGGGACATGGCGCAGGCCGATCGGATGGCCACCTTCCGAGCATATCGCGAGGGCGCGGCCCGGGGTGAGGCGGCCGTGCTGCTTTGCTCGGATGTGGCCGCGCGCGGAGTGGACCTGCCACAGGTGGACTTCGTGGTGCAGTACGACGTGGCCACCAGCGTGCGGGACTACGTCCACCGGATTGGCCGGACCGCGCGTGCCGGGCGCGAGGGGACGTCCATTGTCTTCCTGATGCCGCACGAGGCAGCCGGGTACACGGAATTCCTGCGCACCAACCATGAGTTGGTCCTTCTCCGGTCGGACTATGAGGCCATGCTGATTGGCACCTGGGGCGGTCGCGCCAAGCGCGCGCACCGGCTGGCCGTCAAACAGGCGGTAGACCGGGCTCAGCGGCGTGCGGGACCCACCGCGCGGCTGAAGCACGAGGAGCGGGAGCGCATTCGTCGCGCGGTGCGCATGCCGGATTGGCGCGAGCTGTTGACCGGCTTGCAGCGGTCCTTCGAGCGGCAGACGTCGCACCGAGCGGTACGCCAGGACATCCTCGCCTTTTTGTGCCTTTCTTCCCTCCCCCGTCCCCCCCCCCTCTCTCTCTCTCTCTCTTTCATACACATGCATACACTCTCTTTCTCTCACCAGCTGACCTTTTGTCGGTCTTGTGCCCCCCGGGGGGGTGGTTTGCTTCCTGCTGTGCCACTCAGTTCCACAAGCTTTCTGTCCGCGCGCTGCGGTCCTACATTCGTGCGTATGCCACGCATCCGAAGGCCATGCGGGCCTTCTTCCACCCGAAGCAGCTCCATCTGGGGCATTTGGCCAAGAGGTACGTCTCCCCGGGGTCTTTTGGTGGCATACCTTTGGTGCGGGTGCCCGCCGGGTGACAGGGGACATTTACTCACATTGGCATGTGTTCAGCTTTGGCCTGGTGGATGCGCCGTCTCGCTTTGCCGCCGGCAAGGGCAAGGCCGCCAAGGCTGCCTCCGGCGGTGGTGGTGCTGGCGGCGGCGGGTCTTCCCACTCTGCGAGCGCCGGGAAGAAGTCCGCCAAGGCCCTGGCGGCCGCGGAGAATGCAGGCACGGCAGCCATCGCCGCACACGAGTACAACCGTCTCTCCTTCGTGAAGCCCGTGCACGTGGCCCGCGAGGAGGTCAAGCGTGCCAAGCGCAAGGCGGCCTCCGATGAGTTCGGCATTAGTGCCGGCATCGGTGGCATGCTTTCGGGTCCGATGACGCGCAAGGCCAAAAAGCAGCGTTGAGGCTGCCCTCCTCCCCCCCCTTCTTGTGTTTCCGGACCGGTCCGAGTGTCGCTCTTTCCTCTCTCTCTCTCTCTGCCCATCCTCAGAATCACGGATAGGCTGGCCTCATTAAAGATAGACGCGCATGTGCCTTGGCCGGGTCTCTCCTGCTGTCCTTCATGTTGCCCGTGGCCGTGGTGAGATGAAGACGGATCATGTGGGGATATGTTACATTGTTGGGGGCAGGAGGGGGAGGGGAGAGAGGGTACAAGGGAGGGAGGGGGGGGGGGGATGTGGTGCGTGTGTGCGTGTGTGCGTGGGGGAACTAGGGACACGGCGCGTGTGCGCGTACGCAAAAGCACACGCACACATACACACAAGGTTATGGCGGAGCGATGGGCGGAGAGGACCGCAGGCAGGCGCCAGGGGGGGGGGGGGGGGGGGGGGGGCTGGCAATGCCGGGCCCATACTCACTCCAGGGTCTCCAGATGCCGGAAGCGCGTGAGGATGAGCTGCTTCTGGGTCTCATAAAGCTCACCATTGAGGATCAGCTCGTCCAGGATGTGGTACACCTTGTGGAAGAAGAAGATCAGGTCCAGCTCCGAGACATTCTGGAAGTACTGGTCCAGGGTCTCAACGAAGAGGTGAATGGCCTCCAGGTAGGCGAGGACGTTGTCCTCGGAATCCACACACAGGCAGAAGAAGAGCCCGGCGTAGCGCTTGTACACGAGCTTGTGGGTGCGGAACTGAGCAACGCGGCATCAGTTTACCGAGCAAGTCAGGAGAGAGGGAGAGAGGGAAAGGGGGGAGAACGGGAGGGGGGACTGGGCTTGAGGCCCCGCCGCCGTGCGCGAGAACGAACCTCAACAAAGTTGGACTGGTACTTGTTGTCGCGGGCGGCGACAACGCGATGCACGTCGTTCTTCAGCTTGATCTTCTCCGCATCATCGAAGGGGACATACCACTTGGCGAGACGGGTCTTGCCCTGGCGGTTCTGGACAAGCAGGAAGTGGATCTGCGCAATGGGCGCGCCGGGAATGCCCAATCCCAGAGCGGCCGGGTGAAGGCGGTGTGAGTGGGAAAGTGCTGGCGCAGGGGGCGAGCGGGGAGCGAGCGGGGAGCGAGGCCCAGGGCGCGCACCATTGGGAGGGGGCCGATGGCGATGCGGCGAGAAGGGGGGCGGTGTGGGAGGAGGGCGAGCACAGGAAAGCAGACGGGGTGGGGGGGGGGGGGGGGGGGGGGGGGAGGAGGAGAGGGTGCCCGGCGCCCGGGGGCCGGGGCGTGGACGCGCAGACCCACCTCTTGATAATCCTCCCCCGCCCTCCTCCGCCCGCCAGGGGAAAAGAGAATGTGGCCGTGACAGATCATCCACCCCAGGGGCCGGCGAGCCGGGGAGAAGGGAGATCCCGCACAGGCCTGTGGGGCGGCGGCATCCCCCCCCCCCCCCCCCCTTGCTCTCGGCCCGGGGAGAAGAGGGCCCTGGCCAACCACAGCCCACGGACGGGCGACCGGCGGCAGTTGGAGATCGAATCACACGGACATCACGCGCCAGGCCGGCGCTCGGGCCGGAGGCATTTGGCCCGGCGCCTGGCGGCTGCGTTTCCCCCTGGAAAAAAAAGCCTGCCCCTGGAGAAGGTGCTGGTTGCCTCGAGGCCAAGAGGGAGAGGCGGGGAGGGGCCTGCAGGCCCCGGGCGTGGTGGCCGCCCAGAGATTAGCGGTCTCTCGCCTCGGGGGGGGGGGGGGGGGGGGGGGGGGGTTTGGGGGGGGGGGGGGGGGGGGGGGGGGGGGGGGGG